GTTGTGAAATGATCCAACCATTTTGGAGAACAATTTGGAACTATGCCCAAAGGGCTACAAAAATGTGCATACCCTTTGATCCAGCAATAGCACTTCTAGGGCTATATCCCAAAGAGATCAAACAAATGGGAAAAGGACCCACATGTACAAAAATATTCATAGCAGCTCTTTTTGTGGTGGCAAAGAATTGGAAATTGAGAGGATGCCCATCAATTGGGGAATGGCTGAGCAAGTTGTGGTATATGAATGTAATGGAATACTATTGTGCTATAAGAAATGATGAACAGGCTGACTTCAGAAAAACCTGGAAAGACTTATATGGTCTGATGCTGAGTGAAGTGAGCAGAACCAAGAGGACTTTGTATACAATAGCAGCCACGTTATGCAATGACTAAGAATGTTAAACTGAACCCTTCTCAGCATTACCAGGATCTAAGACATCTCCAGAGGCCTCAGAATGGAAAATGCTGTCCACATCCAAAGAAAGAACTATGGAAGTCGAATCGCTCTCACTTATTTTTACCTTCTGTTGAGTTTTGTTTCATCTTTCTGATGGTTCCTCCTATTGGTTTTAATTTTTACTTACAACTTCAGTAATGTGAAAATATGTTTAATGGGTATGTAAATGTAAAGCCTATGTCAGATTGTGTGCCATCTTGGGGAGGATGGGGTGGGGAGGAAAAGGGAGAAAAAAATTTTCAACTCAAAAGCATATGGGAAAAAAAATTTTTTTAAAAATTACAAAATAGGGAAAAAAAGAGAAAAAAAAGAAAATTTAAATCATGTGTTTTTTATTATTATTAGCTTGGTAGGAGGAAGACTAGGAGAGAGCAACATTGAGGGAATCAAGAAAGGAAAGTAGGAATCTAGGAAGAAAGGTTGACCTGCAGTGTCAGCTAGTGAAGAAAGGTAACTCCATAGCATGGTAGATAGAACACAGGATTTAGCATTCTGTCATTTATTCTCTCCATGATACTGGGCAAATCGTTATGTCACTCAGCCTCAGTTTTCCCATCTGTAAAATGGGAATAATGAAGACATTTACCATATGGAGTTATCATGAGGGTCAAATGAGTTCACAGACATAAAGTGCTTTATATATCATAAAGTGCCATAAAAATATTAGTTATTTTTAATGTTGGTAGTAATAATGGTAGTAATAATGGCAATAGTAGTAGTAGTAGTAGTAGTAGTAGTAGTAGTAGTAGTAGTAGAAGTAATAGTAGTAGTAGTTGCTGTTGCTGTGGTTGTTGTACTCAGGGAAGACTAGGATTGAGAAAAGACCATCTTATTTGCTAAGTGAGAGTTCATCGGTGACTTTGGAAGAGAAGTTTCTATATACCAATGGAGTCTGAAGCCAAATTTCAAATGTTTGAAGAATCGTTGCCGGTAAGAAAATGTGGACAATGAACTGAGACTATGCTTTCTATAAATCTGGCAGGTTCAAGGGAAAGATTTCCTAGGAAAGACAGTCAAGATTAATATGTTTATAAACAGTAGAGGAACCAAGAGATTATGGATGAATTACTGAATGCATACATGAATGAAGAAGTGTTTACTAAGGTCTTGCTAGATGTCAGCTACTATGCTAAGAAAAGGAATGCTCACGTATCAGAATTTAAGGCATAATTTGGAAATGCCAGAGAAAGGGAATGGTGGAATGGTCCAGGACAAGATAGGGTAAAAACTCACCTGTCAGAACCCAGAGTCAAAGCAGTATGAGTGTGAAGGTAGAAAGAGAAGTAGCAGAGTATGAAAGGCATAGTTCAGAGATAATTAAGATGAGAATGAGAAGAACAGAACAAGACTTCACAAGAGTCAAGAGGAGATGTGAGCAACAGCACAAGTAGAGATGGTAGCTTGGAAAGGAGGAAGACCCCCAAATCTTCTAAGATTAGAACAAAGATTTGAAGTTGAGTGAAGACTTAGAAGTTATGGTAGAAGATTAATGAAGAAAAATCTACTAATGGAAGGCTTCAATCTTTGAAAATAGAAAGCCAGATCATCTTAAGAGATGGAGATAGAATGGGAATTAAGAAAGAGAGGAAGAAAGCTATAGGCTTTAGAGTGCAGTGCATTGTGGAACCTTTAAAATTACTTATTGCAAACATCTTGTTTTTACTGAGGAAGAAACTCAGGCAGATTAAAAGCTATGCCTAATATCACAAAGGTAATAAAGCAAGAGCTCTTAAAGCTAAATCCAGCCACATTGACTTCCCTCAGCCTTATTCATGAGATTTTATTGTTTAATCTAGTGAATGGGGGAGAGTGGAATGAGGGTAGAGAGAATGGTGCATGGCTTCTCCATACAAGATGACCTTGCTCTGAAATTAATTGCTCAAGTTCAATCACTGGGGTTTCACCTTCTTAATACCTTAAACAAAAAGGACATCTACTGAATTACGGTTCACATTAAAAAAATGAAATCTTTAGGGTCAGAAAGACAGATAATGTAATATGTTCAAACTCCTTAAAACATTTGCATCACCTCATTTCTCAAACATATAAAGAGCTGAGTAAAATTTATAAAAATTTTACTCGTTCCACAGTTGATAAATGTTCAAAGCATATGAAGAAGCAGTTTTCAGAAAAAGAAATCAAAGCTATCAATAGTCATACAAAATGCTCTAAACCACTATTGATCAGAGAAATGCACATTAAAAAAAACTTTGAAGTACCACGCACACCTATCAGATGAGCTAATAGGACAAAATGGAAAAATGCTGGATGTTGGAGGGGATGTGGGAAAACTGGGACACTAATGCATTGTTGGTGGAGTTATGAACTGATCCAACCATTCTGGTGAGCAATTTGGAATTGTGCCAAAGGGCTATAAAACTGTGCATACCCTTTGATCTAGCAATACCACTACTAGGTCTATATCCCAAAGACATTCAAAAAAAAGAAAAAAAGAAAAGGAATTATTTGTACAAAAATATTGATAGCTCTTTTTGTGGTGGCTAAGAATTGGAAATCAAAGGGAAACCCATCAATTGGGGAATGGCTAAACAAACTGTGGTATGTGATTGTAATGAAATGTTGTGCTATAAGAAATGACAAGCAGAGTGATTTCAGAAAAACCTGAAAAGACTTACATGACCTGATACATAGTGAAGTGAACAGAACCAGGAGAACATCATACACAGTAATAGCAATATTGTCCAATGAAGAACTGTGAATTACTTAGCTATTTTCAGAAATACAATGAATGATCCAAGACAATCCTGAAGGAGTAATGATGAAGCATACTATCTATCTACCTCCAGAGAAAGAACTGATATGGATTGAATACAGACTGAAGCATGCTATTTTCACTTTTTTTTCCTTTTTCTTTTATTTGAGTGTTCTTATACAAAATGACTAATATGGAAATGTTTTACATAATTGCACATGTATAACCTATATCTGATTGCTTAACATCTCAGGGAGGAGTAAGGGAGGGGAGGGAAAGAGGGAAGGAGAGATAGGATTTGGAACTCAAAACTTTAAATAAAAGAAAAGAAAAAAAAAACATTGCATCATTGCAGTCTCTAATTCTGATGCTTATGTTACATTTTCAGTCTCTTATGTTTGTCTATTACTTAATAAACATGTCATCAATCATTAAACATTGATTAAGCAACTACTATATGCCAGCTACTCTATGACTACTATATGATGAGTTCTGGGAAGATAAAAAGAGGCAAAAGACAGTCCCTGCCCTCACGGAGCTTTATAATATGATGGGGAAAACAAACAAATATATATATGCAAAGCAAGTTAGATACAGGATAAATAGAAAATAATTAACAGAGGGAAGGCAGTAAAATTAAGATGGATTAGGGAAGGTTTCTTGTAGTAGGTGAACTTTCAGTTTGGACTAAAAGGAATCCAGAAGGGTAGCAGTCAAGTTGACAAACATTTATTAAGTGTCTACTCTGTGCCAGGCAGTGCTAAGCACTGGGTCAAATGATAATTTTTCTATGATTATAATAAAGTGAATATTTCAATGAATCATTAGAAATCTATTACTGATTATGATTTCTACAGAGAGATTCCTTGGATGTTGGATGCTAGCCAGTGTTTTAAATTTGTATTGTTCATTTTTCCTAAAATTTAAGAAACCTTTTGCTTATAATGGGAAAAGAACGAGATGAGAATTCAGGAGGTTTGTGCTTGTTATCCAGTTCTGTTCTGAAAAACTTGGGAATGTCACCACCTTTCTGAGTCTCAGTCTCTCCATCTATTAAGCTAAGATAATGTCACCAAACCTGCCTTCCTTCCAAAACTGTTACAAAAATCATATATTGTAAAACTAACTCAGTACCAATAGAAATAATTGCCAATTGCAAATTGTACATTTTAAAAAAACCTGTCAGAGGTTAATTGAAGTACAACAAAATCAGATATGATCGCTGCTCTCATAGAATTTATCATCTAATTATATATAGGAAAATATTTAGAAAAAAATATATTATTAGAAAAATATGAAAAATTATTATATATTTCAAAGTGGATAGGAAGCTGGGCTTGAAGTCAAGAAGACCTGAGTTCAAGTCTCACTTCTGAAATATTGTTGCATCATTCTGGGCAAGTCACTTAAATTCTTGGTGCTCTGGGTAATTTTCACAAACTAATAGTTGAAGTGAAGGCAATTCTTAGCATTGGTAGAGGGATTCTTATATGTTATATATTATATAATTCCTTACCTTGGAATATTCTACATCAATGAAATTACAGTGCCTGTGTCCTATTAAGTAATAGTATTTGGACTAGGAGCCAGGGACCTAGGCTCTACTTATGGCCCTGCTACGATTTTACTTTGGGATGCTGGGTAAATAACATTAGCTTGGTCTCAGATTCCCAACATGTAAAACAAACATGTTGGCCTAGATAATCTCTTAGGGCCTTTCAGTTATGTCATTTTTTTTCTCTTATTCTACATTCTATAATATATAGAGAGTATCTCAAAAAGTCTTTGTGCAGTTTAAAGCTTTAGAAGGTTAAAACTATACAAATACCTTTAGGAGTACCCTGTATGATATATAAGGTCCTTCCTGGATCTGATGTTCTGTTCTAATATTCCTTTGTTCTCTGATATTTCATGTACTAGGGCTGCTTATAATTGACATTCTGTGTTCTAAGATTGCTTCTAAGCAGAGCATTCTGTGTTTTATGATCTATCTCAGATCTAACATCCCTTGTTCTAATATCCCTTTCCAGGTCTAACACTCCATGTAGTAGTAACAGCCACAGCAGCAACTGACTCTTAATTAACGTATTAAAGGTTGAGAAATCTCTTATATATATTATGTCATTTTACACTATTAACTGTTTTTACCAGAATAAATTGCAGAAAATGTGCTGACTTGCTTTGATGAAGTTTCTTGCTGAGAGTTCCTTATACCAACAAAATCCTAGGGCTACTTTCTATCCTTTTCCTATCTTCACAACAACTTATTTTAACTCCAGTGTAATGTTCAATGAGCTTTATTAAATTAAATTAATATTGGCCATTAATATATTCCCAACATGACATTTGAACATAAAAAAGTTTTGTCTGTACACTAACATATACTGTCTCATTCCCTGCCCATCAAGATCAGATATGTCCCCTTATTTCCTCACATATTTTTTTTCTTTCCACTTCTTTTCTCCTTCCTTCCTTCCTTCCTTCTTCCTTTCTTTTTCTTTCTTTCTTTCTTTCTTTCTTTCTTTCTTTCTTTCTTTCTTTCTTTCTTTCTTTCTTTCTTTCTTTCTTTCTTTCTCTTTCTTTCTTTCTTTCTTTCTTTCTTTCTTTCTTTCTTTCTCTCTTCCATGAGTCTTTCATTCCTAGACTTTAGTATCAATGCTGGAAGGAATCTTAAACGATGGCACATAAATGTTGGAACAGGAAAGGACCTCAGAGATCATTTTGTTAAATCCCTTCATATTTTAGAGGAATAACCTGGGGACTAGAGAAATTAGATGGCTCATACAGTAAAATACTGGCAAGATGAGTACTAGAACCCATGTCTCCAGATTCTGATTATTGTCTCTTCTCTATTGAAAATGACAGTCTTTCACTCCTTATAGAGTTAAAGTCATCATCAGAAGTTCTCTATGACAACACTATTTTCATAATAACTTACATTCCTATAGTTATTTATTTTCTCAGGTTGTAGGCACTGTGGGTATAATGGAAAGGATGCTGTACTTAGTGGAATTTAATTTGAATCCAAGGCTTTCAAACACTTAGAAGACCCATCTCTCTTCTCCTTAGGGCTGCCTCTGCTAACTGTGTAACATCAATTAGTGGCACTAGGAGGTTTTACAATTAAGGTAGGGGATGAAGTGGAATATGAATCAATCTACAAATTATGAAGTCTGAAGTCCAGTCAGATCTCTAAGGTTCTTACCCCTTGTCTTAACTCTCATCTCACTGGTCACATGTCCCCATATTCCACAATACAGAAAATCAACATGTTTTGATCATGTGATTTGTTGGAGTGAGAGAGAAAGGGACGAGACAGAGACTGAAAGAGATAGAGAGAGGCAGATTCAGAGAGACAAAGGGAGAGAAAGAGAGAGAAAAACAGAGAAGGGGAGAGACAGAGACAAACAGAGAGACAGGTGTGGTGGGAGTGGGGGAGAATGAGTCATATATTCCTATGTAGATCTCTCCACCTTTAACCTGACCCGTCCTTACCCTTTTCATCTTATACCTTAGTCGTCATACTCACCAGCACACAATAGCTTCCTTAGTGTGTTTTTTTACACAAGATATTCTACCTCTTTACTCTGCATTTCCATTTGCTCTTTCTCATGATTAAAATTTTTCTACCTTCTTATCCTTGTAGCCTGGCATCACTGGCATCCTTCAAGTTCCAGTTAAATTCTGACCTTCTACAAGAAGGCTTTCCCAACTGCCCTTCACACTCATCCTTTCCCTTTGTTAATCATCTCCAATTCATCCTTGACAGGATTTGTTTGAACATAATTGTTTTGCATGTTATTGCTCCCATTAAACTGTGTGCTCCTTAAGAGCAGGGTCTGTCTTTTGCCTTTCTTCATATCCCTAGGGCTCAGCACAATGCCTGGAGCATATTTAGCACTTAATAAATACTTACTGATAGACTGTTGTGACATTAACCTCTCAATTACCTTCTAAACATCTGAGGGTAGAAGGATGAAATGCTTATTCAACCTGTTTCCATAGTTCAAACAAAGTAATGAGGGACAGGTTATGTGGGGATATATGTCTAGGAACCATAACTGGAACATAAAATAAAGAGGAATGAAAAGAATATGTGGGAGGAAGAATATTTAAAATCATTCTCACTTTGTCAGCTCTCCAGCCAAACTAGATTCTCAAAAGCTGTCCATCTCTGCATTAGGTATTTTGGCTCTTCACAGTCTCATCTCTATCCCTGATCCAAGTTAAGAACCTCCTTTGTAGCACTGGTCTCTGGAAGTCTTCATCATTCACTAAGAGTCTTGGGCCCCAGAAGCACAAGCAGCCAGAGTTATGATAGCCACAATCCTGATCACTCTGTACTACTTCCTGGAAATCATACAGTACTCATTCAATAGCCAATACGGCCTCCCAGTAGAGGTTCCCATGGGAATCAGAAAGTCAAAATCCAAAAGACAAAAGAAAGAACACCTAATCCTATATATTAGAATGTAGATTGTGTGCCTCTCTATCCTACCACATGGCGCCCTGATTCTCATGATCGTTCACTCCCTGAGACTTTAAGTGATGATGGGGAAAAGGGCATTCAGTCTCCTTGATGTTTGAGGGTCATCACAAAGGCATCTCTCTCTGTCTCTGTACTCTCTCTCTCTCTCTCTCCCTGTCTTTCATCATTACCAATAGCCCAGATAGACAATAATTATTCAGACAGAAAGAGAAAAAGGCATCAGTAAGTGTCACAAATGGAATTAAATTGAAGTTCCCAAGTGTATGGGTGTCAGGGAATTTTGTGGTAGTAGTAGTAATGCTGAAAATGGATATCCAGCCTTTTTTCCACATTTTAAATGGTTCAGTGTCTCCTTGGGGATTATGGAAGATTTGGAGACATTTTCTTTGGCCCTGGTTGCTAATTTTGAAAGTTATGATGTGAGTTGAAAGGGAAGATGTAAAAGGCTTGTGACTTCATTTATATTTAACTTCAGTGAAAACAACTGAAGAGAGAGAGATGGAATATAGGTCCCATAAGGAGTATGCAGGGTTCTCATATTAACTTATGCACCCCCAACCCCTCTGCTGACCTCCAATGTGTCATGTCCAACTGATTTATTGGGCATCTCAAATTGGATGTCCTGTAGAAATCTTCAATTCAACATGTCTAAAATTGAACTCATTAGATTTCCTCTCAAGCTTTTCCAAATTCTCCTGTCATGTTCAAAGATACCACCATCTTCACGATAACCCAGGTACGTATCCTAGGTGTTACCTTCAACTCACCATTATCCCTCCAATATCTAATTTTTTTGTCAATGTGTTCTGATTTCACCTTTGCGACATCTTTAGAATAAGCCCCATTCAATCTGATACTACAACCACTCTGATTCAGGCCCTCATATTTTCATAACTCGAGTATTGCAATAGCCTGCTGGTTGGTTTGCCTGTCACAAGTCTTCCCCTACTCCAGCACATTCTTCATTCACTTGCTGAAGTGATTTCACTAAAGTACAGCTCTGACCATGTCACTCCTCAATCAATAAATTCCAGTGCTTCCCTATCACTTCCAAGATCAAATATAAAATTTTCTGTTTGGCATTCCAAGTCCTTCATAGCCTTCCTCCCTCCCCTCCCCTCCCCTTACCATGCCAACCACCTTAAATCTTACATTTCTGCTCCTTCCATTTCCGAGTACTTGTTGATCCATTGACATTGATCTTCTTGCTTTTTCTCAAACAAGATACTCTACTCTATTTTTCAGGACAGTCCTCCATACCTGAAATGCTCTCACTTCTCATTTATACCTTGTGGTTTTCCTGGCTTCCTTCAAGTTTCAGCTAAAATTCCACTTTGTATGGGAAGCTATTCTCACCTTATAATTCCAATGCTTTGCTTCTGTTGATTATTTCCTATTTAGTCTGTACATAGATTGTTTTTACATAGTTTTTTTTTTTTGCATGTTGGCTTCCCCATTAGATTGTGAAGTCCCCAAGTTCAGGGACTATATTTTGTCTTTCTTTCAGACTCTCCTCTCTTCTTCTCCCCTCCCCTCCCCTTAGCTGAGAGTGTTCTGCCCAAAGGAAGATAAATTCTGATGGACAAAAACTGCCTGCTTCACTTGCGGTTTGCTGACTAGATTTCTCTCTCAAAGACCAAGCCTTAAACCCAATTCTCTCTGGAGCTCATAGACGGAAAACAAAAGTTCCCTGGCCAAACACCACTTAATGGTTATTTTTTTGGGCCCTCCTTGCTCAGAGTGAATGTAAACAGTTATTGTTTCTCATTTGACCAGCAACCCTGGGGGCCTTCCTCTCTCAGTTTGATTTTGGTTTTTGAGTAAAGGGGCCATCTCTTGACTCCTTTTTTATGAATTAATTAATTAATTAATTAATTAATTAATTTTTAGTTTTCAACATTCACTTCCACCAGATTTTGAGTTCCAAATTTTCTACCTATCTCTCCCCTCCCCCCCACCTTAAAATAGAATGCATTCTGAATATTCCTTCCCTCAATTTGCCCTCCTTTCTATCAACCCCACCCCCCTTTTCTTACCCCTTTCCTTCCTCTTCTATTTTCCTTTAGGGCAGGATAGATTTCTATATCCTTTTGCCTGTATACCTTGTTTCCCAGTTGCATGTAAAATCTATTTTTAACATTCATTTTTAAAACTTTGAGTTCCAAATTCTCTCCCTTCCTCACTTGCCCTCCCCATCCACCCTCATTGAGAAGGCAAGCAATCCAATGTAGGTTATACATGTGTAGTCATACAAAACACTTCCATAATACTCAGGTTGTAAAAGGCTAACTATATTTCCCTCCAACATATCCCACCCCACCCCATTTATTCTACTTTCTCATTTGAACCTGCTTCTTCTCAAAAATGTTTGCTTCTGATTACCCCCTCCCCCAATCTATACTCT